ATTTTTGGCATATAACCTGCACGTTAAGTTTGACGTTCCTGATACACCACACAGGGCTGATTATATTGAAACGTTTATTTATTTTAATTGAATTGAATCATTGAATAAAAATAGTGTTTTTATTCAATGATTGAATTGAATTTGAATTTATTTCAGACACACAAGTAAGGTCCGACGAAGTCAAAAGACTTATCTGTCGGTTCCTATTTAAATTGAACAAATAAATTTTCAAATTTTATACATATCATGGTTATTCCGATGTCAGAGAGGTGTTTCGAGTTTAAAACAAGTACAAATTTCAATTACTCAACACACTTAAATTTTACTTGAAACGTTTGTAACTTAAAAATCGAACCAATGTGAGAAATTGCAATTCTACAGTAACATATTCAATTAACGATTATACCGAGGGGTAAACCGCAACCCAAATTTTGTACACTGATTTCCTATAAATATTAGATTTCCTCTGAGTTCCTTCGAGTTCTTCAGAGTTCATTTGATTTCTTCGGAGTTTCCTTAATTTCCTCCGAGTTCCTCCAACTTCCACGAAATACCTCTGACTTCCTTGGAGTTCCCTCGATTTTCTTTTGGAGTTCCTGTGAGTTCCTCTGATTTTTTAAAGTTTTTTTAATTATTTCATTGTTATTCCGTTGATTTAACAATTTCCTGGTAAGTAAAACCCGAGGTAAAACCATAAAAAAAATATAAAAGTGTCAAGTGTCAAGTTAAAAAGTAATCGTAAACGATTTACATAAAGCGCATTTCCACTTGCATTCATTTCCCATTTGTAAGATGCAACTTCTGTTAAAATCGTAAAAATCCGGCCACAAATATGAAAGATAGCGTTGCACATGGGCAATCCATTGTTGACGTGCTACTTCAATTTCAGTTTATGAGAAGAATTTCATTTCAATGCTTTTCTAAATAAGAAAGTTGGAACTGACCTAAATTTTAAAACTAATTTACTATAACTAACTAATAAACTAAGATTTTCCTTTGTTCCAAGCGCCTAAGTATCAAATTTCACTTAAATAGTTCCATAGATAAAAAAGTTGGCACGGCGCATGCGCAAAATAAAATTTTGAAACTGGCGCTAGATTTTCTTTATTCCAAGTGCCTATGTATCACATTTCATTTAAATTCTTCCATAAATAAAAAAGTTGGCACTGCGCATGCGCAAAACCAAATTTTGAAATTGGCGTTTGATTTTCCTTTATCCCAAGTGCCTATGTATCAAATTTCGTTTAAATTCTTCCATAAATAAAAAAGTTGGCACTGCGCATGCGCAAAACCAAATTTTGAAATTGGCGTTTGATTTTCCTTTATTCGAAGTGCTATGTATCAAATTTCGTTTAAATTCTTCCATAAATAAAAAAGTTGGCACTGCGCATGCGCAAAACCAAATTTTGAAATTGGCGTTTGATTTTCCTTTATTCCAAGTGCCTATGTATCAAATTTCGTTTAAATTCTTCCATAAATAAAAAAGTTGGCACTGCGCATGCGCAAAACCAAATTTTGAAACTGGCGTTTGATTTTCCTTTTTCCCAAGTGCCTATGTATCAAATTTCGTTTAAATTCTTCCATAAATAAAAAAGTTGGCACTGCGCATGCGCAAAACCAAATTTTGAAATTGGCGTTTGATTTTCCTTTATCCCAAGTGCCTATGTATCAAATTTCGTTTAAATTCTTCCATAAATAAAAAAGTTGGCACTGCGCATGCGCAAAACCAAATTTTGAAATTGGCGTTTGATTTTCCTTTATCCCAAGTGCCTATGTATCAAATTTCGTTTAAATTCTTCCATAAATAAAAAAGTTGGCACTGCGCATGCGCAAAACGAAATTTTGAAATTGGCGTTTGATTTTCCTTTATTCGAAGTGCTTATGTATCAAATTTCGTTTAAATTCTTCCATAAATAAAAAAAGTTGGCACTGCGCATGCGCAAAACCAAATTTTGAAATTGGCGTTTGATTTTCCTTTATCCCAAGTGCCTATGTATCAAATTTCGTTTAAATTCTTCCATAAATAAAAAAGTTGGCACTGCGCATGCGCAAAACCAAATTTTGAAATTGGCGTTTGATTTTCCTTTATCCCAAGTGCCTATGTATCAAATTTCGTTTAAATTCTTCCATAAATAAAAAAGTTGGCACTGCGCATGCGCAAAACCAAATTTTGAAATTGGCGTTTGATTTTCCTTTATCCCAAGTGCCTATGTATCAAATTTCGTTTAAATTCTTCCATAAATAAAAAAGTTGGCACTGCGCATGCGCAAAACCAAATTTTGAAATTGGCGTTTGATTTTCCTTTATCCCAAGTGCCTATGTATCAAATTTCGTTTAAATTCTTCCATAAATAAAAAAGTTGGCACTGCGCATGCGCAAAACCAAATTTTGAAATTGGCGTTTGATTTTCCTTTATTCCAAGTGCCTATGTATCAAATTTCATTCAAATACTTTTATAAGTAAAAAAGTTTGCAATTCGGTTTATAAATGGTCGAGATGCGAAAAGGGCACTGTGAATTTTGAATCGATTCGATTCAACTTTTGGCATTGCGTATTATATGGCTAAAGCTATGCCCATATTGAATTTCATGCAATTCAGTTCATAACTAACGAAGATGTAAAAGCGATCGAACATTTTAAAACAAAGTTATCGTTCACACGGACAGATAGATGGACAGACAGACAAAGGAACAGACGGAGAGACCAACCGGCAGGCGACAGATAGCAATGCAAAATTATAAACGATCTCTAGGATCGTTAATAAACGGCAAAAGTGTAAAATTATGGAACATGTAAAAAACGGTTTTTTGTTTTTTTTACAATAACTTTTTTTGTAAGCGGTACAGAAAAAATTCCTTCCTTGGTACAAGACTCGACACCATAACGAACCAAATAGCGAAAAAAGTAGAACAATAGCTCTTAAGATAAAAAAACTAGTAGCGTCGCAAAGTTAGCGGACGGACGGACGGACGGACAAAGTGGCCACAATAGCGCATTTTTTTTTTTGTGGAAATGCGCTAAAAAATGTTGGTAATCTTTTAATTTTTTCAGAATCTGTCAATTCTCGACAATTGGAAATTGTCCTTGATTGTTTTAACGTTTACCGCGCTATAGTCAACGCAAAGGCGTTGATTTTTTTACAAGTCAACTGGGATTAGAAGACGAGAAATAGGGGTCCATTATTATTTTGTTTTTCAGTAAGTAATCTGCAATTTCGCTCACCAATTTTCCTTCGCCGTAGGATAAGCGATAAAGGTGACACCCTGCGACGAACTTCCGCCTGAGTTCGCGCATAACCGGTAGCTAAACCAATGAGGCATAGCAATTACTTAAAGTTCATTTAATTACAGACCAAAATAATATTTGACAACCCAAAGTGTCTCATCGGGGACGAACGGATCACTTGGGCGCCACCAAGGTTTAATCAATCATTCCCTAAATCTTGGACAAAGGGGCGATGGCCTACGGCCCTGGCTGTAATTTTCCTAAATAAAATAAAGCAACAAAGCACAAATTAATTAGCGGTGTCTAGGGGAAAACAGAAGCGAAAAAGTGGGAAAAAGATATATTTCCCCCCCCCCCCCCCTTAATTAACGTAAGGAAAGTTAAGACGCGCTTACGTTAATTAATAACGGTTGGTTATTAATTGCGAAAGCGGCAAACCGATGCAAAGCTAAATAAAAACGGCACGTTTGAGCTTCAGGCCAAAATAAAGCTAGGCGGAACGATGGCAAAAGTTAGGGGAAGTGCAAAAGGCCAAAAATAAAACGGTAATTAAAAGGAAAACGCTACAGATGGACTTACGGTGAAAACAATAGGATTTCTGTTGATTAGAATTCGGAATGTTACGATTTTTTATGTAGCGAAGCCCAAACCAATCTTTACTATACAGGGTGGTCCTCGCAAACGACAAACTCAAGTTCGATTCGTCTGTAGTAGCATATCAGCGTCCCCGTTTACGATCAACGATATCGGATAATCAGAAGTGATTGCAGTGGAATCAGGGCGCTTTAAATATGGGTGATTGTTCTTTTCCCCAATAAGAATAGCAATCCTTTCGAAGTACGTGCATAATAAATCATAAAACGTTATTTAAAGACGATGAGCTCATCGCACTATCGTAGCGCTACTATACCTACGTTTAGAACGTGGTACATGGTCAGATTCGACACGGTCCTGCTCAAACCAAGAACAACTGCATGCACGTGGTTACGAAAGCAGGCGCAACTATTGCTACTTGTTTAATAATTACTTAAACAGCAACAACGTTTATAACAAAGCATGGGTTCATTTATTAGGAAACGTTAGTAGTCAAAACTACCACAGCTTGGCAACTGTAAAACACCTTCATTTTGAAGAAACCAGGTTGGAACTCTTGAAGATTGTCACCATGTTTCGGAGGTGTATCATAGGTGTTCAATGATACCGTTACTGCGGAAAGATACGACAAAATAACAGAAGGATATTTCCAGCAAGTCAGTCAGTCGTCACTTACTTAGCTAATTCGGATACGTCTTGGAGGAAAGCATTAAGAGATTGAGATTGTGAAGTTGTTGAAACGGGATTCAGATAAGTGAAAAACGTCAAAGACCGTATCGTGCCATTTAAACCTTGATAAATCGACATGATGCCCCATTGCAGGCCGAAACGCCACAGATCTGTTCTTTTGCACCCACGGGCCACGGTGCCTGTCGTCCTATTCGCCACTAGATCCCCATTTAAAAAATGATATCAAGAGCAGCAGTAGTGCTCCTCAGTATAAAAATATAATGCTCTGCTGCCTCTTTAGAAGGAAATTACACTAGGAGGAAATAAACAATCAATTCATGCGTTATGCCTTTAATTAATTAATGTTTAAGTCCTTTGAATGAAAACCCAAATCTGGTGTGGTGAAATAAATAATAAACAATTAAATAGAACAAAGCTTAAAAAACATTGATTATCGATTATCATTATTTACCAGGAAATTTTCGAAGTTTAGATAAAGCAAATCGTATAAATATTAGCATTGAATATCTTGGATATTCAATGATATTAGTAACGTACGTTCCGAAAGGTTAACTGACCGAACCATGAAGACTGCCATCTTGTATTTTGCGATATTTTGCGCATGTTCTGCATTTGTAAGTATCGTTGATTAATCTTCTCTATGAGGAAAAGCAATTTTTTTCAGAAATTCAAAGTGCAGCCCGACATGGCAAAATCGTGGGCTGTGATGGTAACTCCTTATATTAAGCAATGTTCTGTTGAAGCTAATGTGAGCGTAGAGGAAGGATACGCCGGAATTTTAAATATGAATTATCCGGACACCCACGAATACTACTGTTTTGGCGAGTGCATTTGGCGACGATGGGGTTTCTACGATCCAGAGACAAAAACATTTAATTATCAGAAAATCGAAGAGCATATAGCCGGATTTTCGAAGAAGCTTACTAAACAATGCGTCCAGAAATACGAACATATTGATGATGACTGCGAAATGGTGTTTTCTGTCATAAAATGTGGCTGTGAAAAGCTTTCTAAGCCACATTAGTAACTATATCCTTACTGTTGGTACTTTATAATAGACCGCTCACCATTTCATTTTACTAGACCGGTTGTTAATTTGGAAATATAGAAATGCTTTTACATTTTTTGTTTATGAAATGATGCTTAGTTTATTAAAGAGTTCCTAGCTGTAAAACTTGAATCCTTCCATATGTTCAAGAATCTGGTCTCCACTGGAGTTCTATGCAGAATTGAGATTTAAAAAAGGAATTAATTGTGTCAAAATAGGAGATTATTTATTTATTTATTGTTCCTCTCTTGATGTGGGCCCTCATCAGGATTTCGCCCAATTACAGAGTGACCCGCATAATGCTCTTTTTAGAGGTGCCCCTGCAGAAGGTCTTAAGTTGTTCAATACTACTCCGCTATTTACTCGTACCTTATGAACTAGGAAAACTGCAGGAAAACCTAATTCGTAGTAGCCGGCAGAATGCTCGAAATTGGTCTAAGGAAATTCCCATCTCTGTCACAGATGAACAATTTTTACCTCAGTCCAGGTTCGAACACCCGACCTCCGGCTTTATAACCCAACGCCCATTGAACCACAAAGTAGGTAAATTATACAATGTTTAATCACACGTACCTAACTATACAGTATGTGTTCGAAACTTTTAATTGGGTTCTTTGCCCATTAACGATTTCTAGTACAACTGAAATTGCTTATCATTATATCAAACATGCGGACTGCGAAATGCAAGATTCCATTGACGAAAAGGATTACGCACTGGAAGCCAAGCGAACGTTTCCTGTTCATTTGGGCAAAAATAATGAATGATTATACCTGGTGTAGCAGGGGTTTATCAATAAAGTACCGGTTCTGCCAAAAAGTTATACATTGTGAAGATTTTTAGATATTGTCAAGTGTCCCCTATTAAACGCAATGAATCGTAAGTCGCTACCATATGCGCTGATTTTATCTGGAGACCGAAAAATAAACGAAAAACGAATAATTCCTGTATCTGATCGAGATTATGCACTTCAATGCGGTTCTTGTATGAATTAACCTCGGGAATAAATTTCTGGTCAGTTAGTGAACTCTGGTAAAGGTGTTGGGAAAAAAGTGTTTTGGCGGAGGAAAATGTTATCGTCTTTCATTCCTCCGACACTCCTGACAACAGGATCCCCAGAGGTGGGCTACTCAGACTTGCCAAAGCCTCTTCAGAAAGATAACGGGAATGTAAGGATAGGTAAAGTTATACACGGGAACGGAAAGAACGGAGTTGGACTGCTGAGTGGGAAAAGTACTTTTTTTTAATGAAAAATCGTATGGAAAGTGGTACTTTTTTTTACGATTTTTACTACACGTTTCCATGGAGTTTAGTCCTGTCTATGAACAATAGCATCCATTTTTGAGGGACAGTAGATCGCGAATGTCAATAAAATTATTCAATTGTGGGTTATTATGGATCACTATGCAAACAAATTTCGTGTACAACAGGTGTTGAAAGTGTCGCCCTCATTAATCAAACTGCAAATTCATGAAAAAAAGTATCACTTTCAAAACTAGTTGTACAAATAACTATTACGTTACAGAGTTTTCTTACAGTGTACAGGTAGGTACAAGAAGTCACTACCCTTTTGGGTTATGGCAGATTTCGCGTATACATACAAACACCACAGGCCCGTTCTCTACAATTACAGAGCCAGGCTGTCGTCGAATTCGGTCACAAAGGAGCTATCTTTTAAAAAGCTATCAAAACGAGGACAAGTACTTCTGAGTAAATTACTTGCATAATATATGAAGATGTAATGCTCTCCCATTTCTTTTTACAATAGGAGGTAAATAAATTATCTATGTTAATATACGTTACTCAGTTAATTAATCCAATATATAGGTTTAATTCAGTTGTTCTTTGTATTAAAACCCAAATCTGGTCTTACAAAATAGATTGTGAACAATTCAATAGAACAAAGCTTAAAAACCATAACATTATTTCGTATATACCTAGCGACGATTATTATTATTATTATTTAACAGGAAACGATATTTTTGAAGTTCAGATAAGCAAACAGTATAAATATAAAAACGGGCTTTATGAAAGGTTGATTTACTAGTTTGCTATCGAACTAGAAGTCGTGATTTCATCATGAAAACTGCAATCTTAGTTTTTGCGATATTTTGTGCATGTTCTGCATTCGTAAGTATCATTAGATAGTTGTCTGTATGTGAGAAATCAATTTTTTAGAAATTCAATGTGCATCCCGACATTGTAAAGTCATGGGCTGCCATGGTAACTCCTTATATGGAAGAATGTTCTGTTGAAACCAATGTGAACATAAAGGCAGGATACGCGGGAATTTTTAGTATGAATTTTCCCGACACCCACGAATACGAATGTCTTGGTGAATGTGTTTGGCGACGATGGGGTTACTACGACCCAGAATCCAAAACATTTGATTATCAAAGAATCGAAGATTACGTATTAGGATTTTCGAAGGAGCTTACTAAGAAATGCGTCCAGAAATACGCACATATTGATGATGACTGCGAAAAAGTGTTTTCTGTCATAAAATGTGGTGCTGCAAGACTTTCTAAGCGCTATTAATAACGATTCCCTTGCTGTTGGTAATTTATAAAATATTTCAGACCGTCCACCATTTCATTTTACTAAATCGATGGTTGATTTGGAAATATAGAAACGCTTTTGCATTTCTTTGATGAAAGGATACATAGTGTATTAGAGAGTTCCTAGTTGTAAAGCTTTCCAATAGAGTTCTAGTTAGAATTAAGAGCAGATTATTATATTATAGGTTACCTATAGCACTCGCTTCACTTCACATAAAAGGACATTTTTAATTACAAGGGATGGGTAAATTATACCATGTTTATGTTTCACCAGGCGTGTGTTTGAAACGTTTAATTGAGTTGTTTGCCATTCAGTGATTTCTAGTAGGTATACTACTGAAATTGTTTATCACTGTGTCAAACACGCAGACGGAAAAAGAAGGGTCCATAGAGGAAATGGATTATGAACTGGAATGATCATACCTGCTGTAGCTGGATGATGACGACATGAACCCCGCGCCTTGTGGGGAAGGCTGTGGGTAACATAAGTCACTGATGGTGTTTATCGATAGCGTTCAAGTTCGGACAAGTACAAGTTATGAGGTTGCTGTTTTCCATCAGTGTAATTAGTGCCTTCCGTTCCACCCTCCTCAATGTTTGTCCGTTGTTCGTTGCTAGCGCTGAGGTATTCACTCCGTATAATATTGTCGGAGCTATGATGGTGTTGTATAGCAGCATTTTCAAGCTGTCCGACATTCTCTTCTTTCATATGAAGTTTCGGATTCCGTGCGTGACTCTGAATGCGTTGATTATTTTGTCTATCACTGTGTTGTGCTTACTGAGTGTTACTTATGTACGCTTCCAGATATTTTATCTTGGGATTCATGGTTATCTCTCTCCCTGCTATTGTGACCTTTCTTCCTTCTTGGTATTGGGTATTGCTTTCTGGGTCTCTTATAATCAATGTGCCTCGCTGGTTTCGACGAATTCCTCGATGTGTTCTATCTTATCCGCGTCCGCGTACGCCAATACTACCGTTTGTTGTAATTGGCCATCTGTGCTGAAGTCCCTCGCCGCCCTCCTTGTTTGTTCTATGGCGCTATCCAGTGCTATCGCGAAGAGCCTTGGAGAGAGCGGATATCTTGGTTAGATTCCTCTGCATTTCATTTGTTGCTCGGTCTTCTTCTCAAACGACGAAGTATACTAGTATATTTCCTTAGGCACGCATTTATGGTCGTATTGCTTAGGAATTTGGGCAGTACCAGTAGCGTCAGAGAAGTGGCTATTGCTTTCGTGATTCACTTGGTCGAAGTCCTTCCCCAGGTCTATTGCTTGCAGCCATGTTTTGGGTCCTGCCCTCCAGTGTTGGTTTAGAATCCTTATGGGCGTGTATATGGTCGTCCGTTGAACCTGCTTGGTATGCTGGTGTCTTGGATGTATGGCCCTATAAGCACTGTAGTATGTAATTGCGTATATCTTTTATTCCGCACTGCAAAGCGAGATTTTCCTGTAGTCGTCTGTTCCCTGTGGTGTCTTGACTTTTGGGATGGGGATCTGAACTGTTTGCTGCCATTCTTTGGGGACCAAGTTCCTGGTCTATACCTCCTGAATTAATTCATGTCGATCCTTTATTAGCAAATCTGGCAATGGTCCACACAGGTGTCTGTGAAGTTAGCACATAATTTTCAAAAGCAAACCACCGTATATGGTGCCACCTACTAACACACGACACCTCATCACATAAAAATATTTTTCTATTTCGGTGTCACAATGATGATTTTGTACAACTGTTTTCGGCCGAAAACAGTTGTACAAAGACAGTGATTATAGTCGTTTTTTTTTTGGTAACTCATCTCTTAAGTTGGCAGTTACTAGTTAGTACAGTAGGTACTTCGTTGGGTACTTCCATGTTTGAACTTCAAAATGTCAGTCTTACTACGCCTGCCAACCTAAAACTTAACGGCATAAAAAGTGTTCCCAACATAAAACATGTTAGTTCTAATGTTCCCTATAGTTTCTGATAATGATTTTTTTAATTAAATTAAAGCACCGAAATAGAAAAAATAGTATGAAAAACGCGTGTTACAATGCTTTATTTTAATACTCCTATCTTGCGGACACTCGTGGCTACGCTTCGCGTCGCCACTCGTGCCACAAGATAGTCGTATTACAATAGGTCGCATTGTAACACTTGTCTTTCAATATACTATTTCATGTCTGTTCTTATTGCACCCAGAATTGTACTAGATAATAATATTAAAATTTATTTTTGACAATCAGTTGACACTGCTTAGTCTCCTCTGGATATTTAACATGTAAAGTAAGGATATAACAAACAAATCACATGAATGAATAAATATAAAACAAACACATCAATAAATATAAAACAAACAGTATTAACATAAATGAAGGGTTATGGGGCAAGAATACGTTTTATATAACTTCAGAAATCGACATCATAAAACTGAGTCCAAAGTACTAGTACTAGATAATTTCTTAAAAAAATATTGTTGTGGAAACAACGTCGTACAGACGTTATCTGGGTCTAGACAGCAAAAATTATGACGGGACGTCTGGTGATAATTTACGGATAAACATATAGTTGGTTTATTTTACTTGAATTTGTGGTCTCGGTGTCTATTTGTCCTTTTGTAATTGCGTAATATTTTGTTGTTCAAATCTTATCGCTTTTCTAATTTATTCAATTTATATAAGATGCGCTAAGGAAGACACATCTGGTCAAGTTTGTGTACTTTATAAAAATTCTTGTCTGTTGGTTTTCGATAAAATGTTTTATCAGACGAATTATATGTTTTTATCGCAGTTGAAAAAATAAGCAATGTTAAAAGCTTTTCCTAATTTGTTGGAATGTTTAACCGTTCCTCTAATGAGCATAACTGACTTCTTAGTTGGTCCTGATGGGGCTGTTCTCTTTATCTTTCTACTATACTGCCATAGTTTTTCTTTTGTTTCTTTTGGACTGTAAGGATTCTAGAACCTACTTGCAATTATTTAAGAAAGATTGCAAAACTCCAAGCATCTCTGAACATGTCGATCCTACTTTGGTATTTATAACAAAACAGTTCTTGCAACCGATGTTGTTGCACAGTAGTTCATAAAACGCGGCACAATCGGAACGCGATCGATAAACGTACAGTTAAAAAATGCCAATAGTAGTTCTAAAGATGGACTCCAGTGGAGAGCGAATCGTTAAACATGAAAGGATACAAGTTGTTCATCTAGGAACTTTCTAATACACTAGGGAAACTAATCATTTCAACAACAAAATTCAAAAGCATTTCTATATTTCCAAATTAACAACAGATCTAGTAAAATGAAATGGTGAACATTTTATAAATGACCAACAGCAAGGATGTTGTTATTAATAGTGCTTAGAAATCTTGCCAGCGACACAGTTTATGACAGAAAAAACCTTTTCGCAGTCATCCTCAATATGATTGTATTCCTGGACGCACTCCTTAGTAACCTCCTTCGAAAATCCTACTATGTGATCTTCGATTCTCTGATAATCAAATGCTTTTGTCTCTTGGTCGTAGAAACCCCATCGTCGAGATACACATTCACCAAGACAGTGGTATTCGTGGGTGTCGGGGAAATTCATACTTAAAATTCCTGCGTATCCTGCCTTTATGTTCACATTGGTTTCAACAGAACATTCTTCCATATAAGGAGTTGCCATTTCAGCCCACGACTTTGCAATGTCGGGATGCACATCGAATTTCTAAAAAAATTGTTTTCCAAATGGAGGCGACTAACTAACGATACTTACAAATGCAGAACATGCGCAAAATATCGCAATAGCTATGATGCCAGTCTTCATGATGAAATCAAGGCTTGTAGTTCTATAGCAAACTAAATCCACCTTTTACAAATCCCGTTCTTAATATGTATATTGTTTGCTTTATCTGCACTGCAAAAATAGCATTTCCTGTTAAATAATAATAATAATAATAACCGATAGGTATATACAAAATATTGTTATGGTTTTTAACCTTTGTTCTATTGAATTGTAATCAATTTATTTTGGCAAACCAGTTTTGTGTATTAATACAAAGAACAACTTTAGCATATACCTAAATTGATTAATAAACTGAGTCACGTATTTTAATATTGATTATTTTATTTTTTCCTCTTGTCGTCATGTCTCCATCGGTCAGTTGCAGCAGATATACTCCTTCCAGGGTTTGCCCAATGTATAGTTCAAGAAACCGTACTTTGACGACCAATGGTTAATGGGTTAGTAGTTTTCGAACCACGGGGGTGCCTCCCTAATTTTCTAAAAAAAATATTTTTTTTTCAGAACGACATATTGAGTTTGGATTCCGCACGTTTGTGTGCCGAATACCTTTGCCCGCACCCCTTCGTATTTTCAGTTATTCCAAATACAACAGGGTCAAAACCGTTGCTGCGGAGGATTGGCAACGAGTGTCACTTTTAACACGTAATCTTTATCTGATTTCACTCCATAGCTTTTAACAAGGAACAATCGATATTTACTTATTTGACAGCTCTAACTGAACATAAAAATGAAATTGCCACCCTGCAAAAACATACGATAAACTTGGATAGTTACGAGGATAGCGCCGAGTTCTGACTTGGTGCCAAGTTTAAAGAGATCTTCTTAGTACGTATCGATTATTTGCCTGAATCATCCTTCACATGGACGAACATAGTTTTATCGTCCTTGAAGTTAAATTCGTCGGGGTAACTGTATGAACTGGGGGAACAGTATGGAATTTTTCATTCGGAATAATTGGAAAACGCCGGACCAAGGCGCAAAGGATCACTCAAAAATAACAAATGTGAAGACATAAGGGAGAGAGGAAGTATGGAATTCTGTATTTAAAATAATTGAAAAACCGCGGCGGTGCAAACGAAGGTCTTCGGGGCTCTAACATGTGCAATCCAAGCAAAATCATTTTGAAAATTGGGGGCGGCGATAAATTTGGCTTCCCCAAATTTGATTGGAGTGCCAAATGCACACAGGTCCCGGAAGCTTCTCTCTTTTTCAGTTTTGTTGGTTTGTGTGGCCCGAATAAATATTGTTTTGTTTGTCGGTGAGAAATTTTGTGTTTGATTGCACCCTGAGGTTAAGTTTGATATTCGTGCCCAGAATTACGCTACGTGTTGTTCGGAATTTGTTTGGATAATTCATTGGATTTGTTGAAAGTGATCAAGAATGCTGAGATTCCTGAATCTTTATACATTTTTTTTCATTGTAGCGGAGGGTGTACGTATCTTGAGAAATTTATACTCAAATTTATTTTATTGCGCTAGCTGGACAGGTGGAGGCTGGACTTTGTGACCGTTTGCCATTGCAAATAGCACTACTTCGGTTATGAGGTGTAATACTTTTGAAGGTGTCCATGAACAGTTAATAAGACTGCATTACAAATCGATTTTGGATCTTGGAAGCCCTGGAACTTCCGACTGTGGCCGTTGGAGTTACAAAAGGTAAAATGTTTTCACTATTTCTTCTATACTTTCGTTCTTCTGTTCTGTACCAATGGTTTGCATCTGAAGAGCACCACGAGATGTTTTCTTTGCAGCATCAAACTCCAGAGCATGTCCCGAAGCCTTTCCAATTTTTCATGTCGTCCATGCTTCAAACTTTGTTACGTTTCCACGTTGAGGACACCAAGGACTGTCCCCATAAGGCTCTCTGGATACTCCACTATTATCAACGATATTCCATAGATCGTTGAGAAGCTTCAATGTTAGCTTATTTGGATTCGAATTTAACTTCCATTATCTGTTGACCGGCTTTCATTTCTTGCATTAATTGCAGCAGTTGTTCCATTTTCCTGACGTGTATCACCCCACACCTGACAGCAGCGTAACCTGATCCACTTGATGGCGCCTCGAGAATGTTCTAGAAGGATTGCTACATTACTAACCAGTGAACTCACGAGTATATGCATATATTTTTTATTGAATTTATTTATACGATTAGCAAGTTTACTATTTTCAATTAACAAATTCACTTGCACCCTTTACATTGTTCTTCCCGCTTTATTCGATGTCACCATTAAACTGCGACCCTCATTATTATTATATTGTGCGATCAATACCTAACTACATATTATATAAAAAATACAAATAATTGTATTTCAATAGTATTATTCCCCTCTCATCTTTATAATGACATGGTGCGTTGTTCCCTTACTGCAAGAAAACCTTTTGAAGTTGTGCACAGACAACAGTTATAGACAAATTGTAAGCTATAAGAAGCTGACGCACCACTAATCTTATAAAGTGTGCAACGCAATGTAGGGGTATTTCGTGCTCCCCCAGCGTGTCCTTTTGATTGAACCTTTATTTCAACTTGAAGTATTGTAATTAGTATGCGCGCCAAAGTCCCTAAGTCAATAATAAAAGTATTGACTACGTGGTATAAATAATGTATAATCTGCTTTGTTACTCTTATGCAATTGTCTCGTAGGGAGGCTTAATTGTAATAAGCAAGATGCATTTCTTCATTGTTTCCATGTTATTTTTGGGCCTTTTAAATATCGTTTGTGTGATAAAGAATTTGTTACAGTAGGTATTAGATGTTCTTGCATCTGGCAAGGTTAGAATAAAATTGTGATGAGAATCTCGGTGTTGGTATTCATTCAGCATCGGGAATACTAAATACTGAGTCTGGAAGCTGCAATATTGTTTAACCTAGAAATTGATTCAGGCTTCAATCATTGAATAATTATTCAATGCTTTTAATAAGTAAGTAATCGTCAAAAAAGCACAGTTTTGTTCAAATCTTGCATTAAAAAAACATTACAATAAAAGGAGAAAATTAATAATAAGATAAAGGTTAATGAACGTATGCGCATTATGTAGATTTCTTTTGAATTAAAACCAGTATCTGATTTAGTGAATAAACTTTTAACAATTCAAAGTAAAACAAAGCTTAAAAACAATGTTATTTTGCATATACATATCGATCATTATTATTTAACAGGAAACGATATATATTTTGGTCCTACGTGGTCATTGAATTTGGCAAATTTTCAATGGGCTTGTTACAGGGGAAAGTTTGAACCGAGTCGCACAATCGTTTGACAATTATCGTGTTCAGAGACAGACGCGCTTCTAAAGCTTGCATCGGTTTTCCTAAAAACTCAAGTTGCATAATTGAAATCTATGTTCCTCCGGTTCCTCGCAAAAATGCTTGACGAACGCTAAACTAACTAAAACTAAAAGTCGCCCCAACAACGTCCGTTCATCTCGATATTTATAGTTGTAGATGTAAATGTAGATTTAAATTTTTGGGCTACTTTTAACATTCTGTATGCCTATATCCGGTAGTGAATGAGATATTGGCATTTTTTTAAAGAAATATTTTTATTTTTCATTAGGTGTAGTGTAGTAAGTTTTGAAAGCAATCGTTTTGAAATTTCCTTCGAATCAAAAGTCAAACAGTGTTAATTTAGTGTTCAAATTAATTCGTACAGACAATTCATTTTGGTTGTGTAAGTACTTTCCTCCGATAAACCGTTTCGAGACATTTGGTCCTAAAGTTTTGACATCACCAATGGATATATTTGTTCCAACGTCCCATTTGCCCCTAAGGAATTATATCTGAGCACGACGAGGAAGACTATGGCTTCGTGGAAATTAATCACTTTCGTTGTGACCATGAAGGATAAAATCAGTTTGACCCCCCCAAACCACCGCTTATGATAAGGGGTGAGAAAAAGGGCGTTAGTTGGTAGTAAACAGTTCCTTTTGTTGAGACCTTTAATTCTACCCCCATCGCCCTAACCACGGTCTCGAAAACAGGAAAGTTATAGTTTGAACAAACCAATTCATTTCGATGAGACCTTTCATTAAATTACTATTAAGGGTAGAAACTGCGCTCCCCCCCCCCCCATTTTCAAAAGCTTTACTTGGAAACACTAAAGGCATGCGTAAAATTTGAGGCCAATTGGTTGTCGCATGGATTGCGTCGGGTTGGTTGTGCACGGTCTACTTTCAAAAATTACATCTCAGAACATGATTCATGGGCGGCCCCCATTAAAACCTTCTGCAGGAGCACCTCTAAAAAAATATTATGTGGGCGTAAGCCTGCTGAGGGCCTAGAACAAGATGCACAATAAATAATGTATAAATAAACAAATAAATAAATTAATGAATTAATAAATAAATAAATAAATTAATGAATTAATAAATAAATAAATAAATTAAAACAAAAATAAATAAAAACAGTGAAATTATTCCACAAAAATCCAGGGCTCGAGGACAAGTCCTCTAAAAGTAGATCAAAACCCCAGAAGTGGGTCCGGACAGACGGACGCACGGACGGAAAAAACTTAAATAATGGCTCATTTATTCATTTATTCTGCTCATGCGTGACACAATTTTTCACACGCACATTGAATTTCCTTTTATACAGAGGACCCACACCTGTTAAAAATTTTACATAAATCCCTCCATAATTAAGAAAGTTATAACAAAATGGTGGCAAATTGAGTAAAATTCACAGCATTTTAATTGTAGTTATTTATAGCATTTTTGTAGTAAATTCATAATGTTTGCTCATGATTCCTGTTCCACTCGATGCGTAAAGAAGATTGTTTCCATGGCACGCTACAAAATTTTTAAAAATTAGCTTCTTTAACGTTGTGTGTGAAAAATTCTAATCAAAGGTAGCTTTGAATACCATCAACATCACTCATCATTGAATTTAGGGGGATAAATTCTTTCAAATTCAATTAAAGAAAATACTCATGCCATTTAAAGTATTTAAGTCGACTATTAGTACTCCCCTAAAATAATAATGTACAATATTTTAATTATGACCCGTTTGTGGTATTTTTGGTATTTTTGCAGTCATTAAATATGGTTTTTGCTGCATTGAATTCGAACAAAAA